TTTATTTTTTTGATTTGTAAAACATTTGTCTTGTAGTGAAAAAAATTGGGGAAAAAAAAAAAAAAAAAAAAAACAAGTTGCCAAACACCGCCCATAGGAGAAGTTCAATCTGTATGGGAGTAGTGCAATACATGTAATTAGAAGTAGAATAGCAGTTAGTTCCAGTTCTTGTAACTTTTTCAATACCTGTTGATAACCTTTTCAATACCCGTTGATTGTGTAACTAAGGTTAGGACTGCAAATGAACCGAGTTGTTTATGAACAACTCAAGCTCAGCTAGTGTAAAGCTCGTTTAAGCTCGACTCGTTTACTAAATAAACGAGCTTGAGCTTGATTTTTAGGCTCGTTTATTAATTGAGCCAAGCTCAAGTAAAGTTCGGCTCAATAAGGCTCATGAATATAAAAATAAATAAATAAATATTTATTTTTAATAATATATTAAATAAATTTTCAATAATCTATTTTATTTTATTTTATTTATGTTTGGTGTTTGTGTAAATTTACATATTTATTATTAATATAAGTATTATTATATATTTTACTCATAATTTTGTATTTTTTTTATCTTAATAAGTAAATTAATCTAAATTTAATTTTTTTTTTCAAGCTCAAGCTCAAAGTTGGCTTGTTTATGTAATTTAGCAAGCTTGAGCCGAGCTCGAGCTCGATAGCTCGAGTTCGAGCTTGACTAATTCTTAATAAACGAGCTTGAACATTCAAAAGCTTGACTCGGCTAGCCTTGTTTGCAACCCTAACTGAGGTTATACTTGTTATTTGGTTAATGCAATGAGGTGACAAGTTTCAATTTTATTACTAATTTCAGTGTGTGCGCCCTTTGTTTTTTCACATTACAACCTCTAAGTAAGTCATTGAATATGTTAAGGTAAAGACTCTTAACCACAATTGTTTGTTCTTGTTTGTTTGTGGAATTTTGGTTTTGTCTGTCAACTAAGTCCTGTCGATTTACCCCAAACCAAATTTTTGCTAACAATTAGGATGAGTTAATTAAATAAGTTGGAATGGATACCTACTGGTAGTCTTATCTTATTTCGATTTAATTATTTATTTGAGTTAACTGGTGGGTTTAATTAAATAAATTGGACTTAAGGAGTTAGGTAATTAAATCAGAAAAATTGGCATGGCATGATATTATGTGCATATAGTATCACTATACTTGCATGTTTTTGAAAGTAATGATATAAGATTATTTGGTGAGAGTGTGGTTTGCTCGCCCCCTACTAGATAGTTGCAAGTGGATGTTTTCGTGGTTAAGGATTAGATATCTTGTTTTGTCTCATCATTGTTGTAATCTGTTGATGAGCTGTAGTGCTTCTATTTGTTATGTTTGGCTTGCAATCTTATTTATTTATTTGACTTAACATCTTCCTTTTGTAAAAGGGCAGCGCCCTCATTATTATTGTAAGCCCTTGGGGCATTTTGTTTGTAAAAAACAAGTTATATTAAATGCATTATACAGAGATTGGGTTTATGGTTTCCATAGTTCCAGCCTTGCCACCGCTCCACAACGATTTTAACTGAATTTGGAACCACCCACAACAACCCCCACCACTTCATAACCTTAGACCACATGTTCTAAACAAGTTTACACCATAGTAATACATGTTTAGGTGTCTCGATAGTGTCCCTACAGAATCTACATCAACCCTTCAAGGTTGTTAATAATCCTCAACCTTATCAATAACCACCCAAAAAATTAGACTTTGTATGGAGCCACATTTTCCAAAATCAGTTTTACCCTCTTCTCCTTTGACCATGTCTTATCTTCTGTTAATGTATATCCTAATTTATGTATATATCCTAATTATCCTAATTAATGTATATCATTGTTAATGTATATCTGTAACAAGCAAGTCCGGAGGCGGGGCTCGCAGCCGCGACTCTGAAACTTCTGAACGAGCACAACATGCAATATCACCAAGTGCTCAACTGGTGACGTCTGAGTCTCAAGGTCGGTCAAAAATGGGGTGTCTACAATATCATAAATTAGGAATTAGAGTTAGATTAGGATTGTATTACACTCCTAAATATAGGAGCTCTTGTACATGGTTATTCAATTCAATAATACAAATACACAATTTTTCCTTTCTCTTAACCATTCTAACATGGTATCAAATTGTAGGTCTTGAATCTTAGCTCCTCTTTTCTCCTGCTTATTGCCCGTATACAGTGGCATTATAGCATCTTTCTTCTTTTTCATCAATACACCATTCTTTGTTTCACAACACTGTTTTGTCACTGCTCCGTCATCATTTTTGACCAAAATTTTATAAATTTTTTCCTGCTCGGAATGATCTCTAGTTCCAACGCCACCAGGCCTATCGCCACACATCTCCGCACGTGCTCCCACAAGCCGTTTTTGTAGTCGATGCGTCCAGCCTTCCATCGCCACTCTCTCATGCACCAACACACGTCCTTCCTGCTACCGTGTGTGCCATTTCTACTTCTGTGCACCCGCGTATGTCGTCCTACTACCGTGCACCAGCGTGCACCGCTTCTGTTACTGTGCACCTGCGTGCACCGTTTCTGCTACTATGCGCCTCACACGCCTCTGTCGCTACCGTGCGCCGTGCACGCCTCTATCACTACCGTGGGCCGCACGTCTCTTCTACTAACAGACGTCGCGTACACTAACGTCATCTACTTGTTGCTGACATCATCTTTGGCCTATTTGTCATCTACAGGTCCATTTTTTGGCCAACTCAACTGCTCTCTAGCTATTTTCAACGTTCCAGATTCACTGGGACACTTTGTTTCACCCAGTTCTACTCCGACACTACTGGGCCCTCTTTGTGACTCATACTTTGATCACTTCATGGATCATTTAGATAGTTCCCCTCTTTACGGTGTCTCTTCTGGATCCTCTATTGGTCGACATGACTCTTCGATTCAATTTGCCTCTACTGCTATTACACCTGCCTCATCTTCCACTCACATTATTCATGATATTGAAGCTATTATGAAAAAGGTTATTTCCACTTCTGGTACAGTTTCTATTGCTATCTCAGTCACCCCAAGTACCTCTTCATGGTATTTTGATTCAGCTTGTTGCAACCATATGACCTCTGACCCTACACTATTTTCTTCCACTACGTGTCCTTCTAATTTACCTAGCATTCATACTGCTGGTGGTTCTCAAATGCATGTTAGTCATGTAGGTCATATTTCTACCTCTAATGTCTCTCTTCCTCACACTTATCTGATCTCTAATCTTACACTTAATCTTATCTCTATTGGTCAACTCTATGATCTTGGCCTCACTGTTCTATTTTCTCCAATTGGTTGTGTTATGCAGGATCCGAAGACAGGACAAACCCTTGGGATAGGTCGTAGACATGGACGTCTATATGAGCTCATCGACCTGCTTATTCCCTCCTCCAGTCCTTCCAATGTTGAGACTTCTACTTTTGCTACTATTAGTTCCCCTCTTGCTTTATGGGATTCTCGGTTAGGTCATGTGTCTTTTGGTCGTTTACGCTCTCTAGTTTCAATTAGTCAGTTAGGTGATGTTCAAAATGATAAAATAGACTGTCTATTTTGTCAACTTGCAAAACATCCTACCTTGCCATTTATTACTAGTACCTCTATGTCTCATGCACCTTTTGATCTCATACCCTCTGATGTTTGGGAGCCTTCACCTAATACCACTATGAGGGGATCTAAATACTTTGTTATATTTGCAATGATTTCACTCGTTTTACCTAGTTATTTCTTATGAAATCTCGTTCTCAGTTACACCAAATATACCAAGATTTTTCTCACATGGTCAAAACTCAATTTTCCTTTACCATCAAAATTTTTCGTGTTGATAATGCTTAGGAATACAAACAAACTCATTTTTTGAAATTCCTTCATCAAAATGGTACGCTTTCTCATTATTCTTGTCTTGGTACCTTCTAACAAAATGGTCATACTGAGCGCAAACATTACCATATCCTAGACACTGTCCGTGCTCTTTTAATCTCTTCTTCTTGTCCTGAACATTTTTTGGGAGAAGCTACTCTCACAACAGTCTATACTATCAACTGTGTTCCTTCTCCTACCATCAATAATCAAACCCCATATGAGCATCTGTATGGCCTACCTCATGCCTATACCGGTCTTCATGTGTTTGGATGTGCTTCTTTTGTTCTTCTTCAACCACATGAGCGTACCAAATTAGAACCTCACATCCATTTGTGTTACTTCTTGGGGTACGAGATTGAAAATAAAGATTATCGTTGTTGGGATCCTTTTTCTCGTCATCTTCGTGTCTCTCGTCATATGGCATTTTGGGAACACAAAATGTTCTCCTCTACATCTAAGTTTCATATGTCCACTCCTCTTATTACACCATTCTTTACAGATCCCTCTCTTCTGTTTGATAAGCTTGATACAAACATTATTTCTGACATGATGACTCTGGCCCATCCTAAGGATTCTGCTCCCTCTTTTGGTCCTGCTGCTCCACTCACTGATCCTAAGCCAACTTCTGAACCTGCTCTTGCTCCACCTCCTAGTCCTGTTATCATTTCCTCTCCCAGTGAGCCTCATACATCCCTTGATTCCACTACATCATCTTCTACACTAGAGGTACCTCTTTGTCATTCTATTAGGGTAACACAACCTTCTGTGCTTCTTCGTGATTTCATTGTTGGTTCCATTGCTTTTTCTTCTCATGAACTTACTTTCTATCTAGAGGCTTGGTCTAACCCTCTTTGGCAGCAAGCTATGAGTGTGAACTACAGACTTTAGATAAAACTCATACTTGGGATGTAGTTGACCTTCTACCTAGCAAGAGTGTTGTTAGTTGCAAATTGGTTTACAAGATCAAAACCCACTCTGATGGTTCCATTAAGCATTACAAAGCTCGTCTTGTTGCTCAGGGGTTTACTCAAGAATGTCGGATTAATTACGAGGAAATATTTGCTCATGTTGCTCGTCTTACTTTAGTTCATAGCCTACTTACCGTTGTTGTTGTTCGTCATTAGAGTCTTTGTCAGATGGATGTCAAGAATACCTTTCTCAATGGCAATCTCATCGAGGAAGTTTATATGCAGTCCCATCCTGGTTCCTCAGTTCCGTCCACCAAGGTCTGTAATCTTCGTCGTGCTTTGTATGGTTTGAAACAAGCTCCTCGTACCTGGTTTGTCAAGTTCAATTCTACTATTAGTGACTTTGGATTCTCTACTAGTGCCTATGATTCTGCTCTGTTTATATGCAAAACAGAGCGTGGTGTTATTATTATTCTTCTTCTTTATGTTGATGATGTGATCATCACCGGGGATGACACAGTGGGTATCTCTAGTCTCAAACAGTTTCTCGATCGCCAGTTTGAGATGAAAGATTTAGGTTTGCTTAGTTACTTCCTCTACTTGGAAATTGTTCATGATCCTTCTAGTTACTTTGTCACCCAGGCCAAGTACACCTCTGATCTCTTGGCTCATGCTGGTCTTACTAATTGCAAGACTGCTCCTACCCCAGTTGATCCTCAGACTCGTCTCACATCTCTTGACGGTCACCTGTTGTCTGATGCTACCTTGTATCATCAGCTAGTTGGCAATCTTGTTTATCTCATAGTTACTCGTTTAGACATTGCCTATGTTGTTCACATTGTCAGTCAGTTCATGGCTGCTCCTCACTTTCCGCACTATGATGCTTTGGTTCGCATTTTGTGTTATCTTAAAGGAACTATGTTCCATGGTCTTCACTACTCAACACACTCATCTTTACAGTTACACGCATTTTCTGATGAAGATTGGGCAAGGGATCCTACTAATCGCCTTTCGACTATAAGATTCTGCTTCTTTTTGGGTGACTCTCTCCTTGCTTGGCGAAGCAAGAAGCAAACTCTTGTTGCTTATTCTAGTACTGAGGCTCAGTATCGTGCTCTTTCTGACATTACTCAGGAGCTTGTATGGCTTCGCTGGCTTCTTTCTAATATGTGGGTTTTTCATTCTACTGTGATTAACCTCTATTGTGATAATCTGAGTGCTATTCAGATTGCCCATAATGATGTCTTTCATGATCGCACAAAGCATATTGAGATTGATTGTCACTTCATACGACAGCATGTTACTAGTGGCATTGTTCGTCTTATCTTTGTTATCTCTGTCGATCAGATAGCAGGCATCTTCACCAAGGCTCATCCTCCTAATCGTTTCAGTGATCTAGTTTCCAAACTCAAGTTGGTTGATACTTCCCACCTTGAGTCTGAAGGGGGCTATTAATGTATATCCTAATTAATGTATATATATATATCCTAATTATCCAAATTAATGTATATCATTGTTAATGTATATCATAAATTAGGAATTAGAGTTAGATTAGGATTGTATCACTCTCCTATATATAGGAGCTCTTGTACATGGTTATTCAATTCAATAATACGGATACACAATTTTCCCTTTCTTTCAACCATTTTAACATCTTCAAAGCTTCGAATAACTGAAGCTATGCAGAAGATTTCATTTGAGTCAGCTTTCTATTTAATTTCATCCATCACCCTATCTCTAATAGCTGGAGCTACATTCAATAATGTAACGCCCTGTAAATAAACCCATAAACCATACAATCTTGACATGCTTAGACATAAGAGAATAAAGCATAATTTCATTCATCAGAGTATTCATTACAAAAGATATTACATGTTGACAACAAAAGTAAATGCCCTAAGGGCTTACAACTTTCCAAGTCAACACTTGGTTACAAAGAGAGAGTACTAGCTCTACACAAAATAAGCCCTTGGCTTGATATACAAGTAATACAGCAAAAATAACAAAAAGAGCCCAATAGCCTCAAGCCTCCCAAGCTACGTCCTTGGAGGTTGCATAGCACCTGCACCTGAAAATGATGTCCCATATAGGGTGAGCCAACGCCCAGTAGAGATATGCTAAACATAATATGAGCAATAACTAAAACATGACCATTTGATAAATGTTTAACTCACATAAATTAATTCATAATTCCTTTCAATTACATGACAAATATGTCCATGTTTCATTCCATTTCCCATTATTTATCCAGTTCTCAATTTGTGAATAAGGCTCAGAACCTGGCCAATAATTTAATGAGACTATAGTTCATATCAACAATACTTCCATACTTCACAATAGATACACATATTTGCTGTATCAATAACACATTTAAACATTTTCGTACTTCACAATAGATACACATATTCGCTGTATCAACACTTCAATAGATACACATATTTGCTGTATCAATGGAATCCATCCCCTATCTTCTCCCAAATAATATCCGATTTAGGAGTCCATCCCCTATCTCCTCCTAAACCATGGAGTACATCCCCTATCTCCTTCCACACAACACAATGTATATAAACACATATCATATACATAATCAATCAATACATAAATTTAATGTATTTTCCCAACCATCATATTTAATGACATATTCCATTGATTAGTTTTAATTCGCCTAATCATCATGCATTGTCTACAACAATCAAGACTATTCTCCACCGATAGCCCAAAGCAATTTATTTCTAAACAGATAATAAATGCATCAACAGGTAATTTGACAACAATTTCATAAGTGAGGGATTAATAAATCCAACTCCACCATTCTACCTCATAATGAGCCAATTTCATATCTCCATAATAAATGTCATTAATTACATTAATGACCTAAATATACCCAAACATGGCATTTTCCCCATTTTTCTCAATATTGACCCAAAGGTCCAAATGTTATCAACAACATCAATAACCTCCTTTTTAGACCCAAAACACATATGTTTGAATCAAAAGAACAAAACCCCTCTTTCCAATATAACACATCTCAAACCCTAACTTCCCAATTCAAACCATTTATACAAAAACTCAACATTTAGGTTAAAACTCATAAAAATGAGTAGTTATCCCTATCTCAAAAGATGAAACTCAAAGGAGATGATGAAGAAATCTCAAAATGCTCCAAAACCCAAGATTTTCAGATTGATAGGAAGCCCAAGCCAAGCTCTACACTCTTTGCAAAGATACTAAGGGAGTAGATCACTCAAGCTAGATCAATCCCTAGAGAGAAAGTAGATTCTAGAGAGAAGAGCTCTCAATAGAGGGTTTAGAAAAGTAAGAGAGAGAAAGGAAATGTGAAAAGTGATTCAAAATCACCTAGCTGCCATCTGATATACGACTATCCTGCTCGAGCGGAGAATAGGATGCTCGAGCGTCAAACACAAAAACTGGACCCGCTCGAGCGCTAAGACGCAAAATTAAAAAGCACCTACTCGAGTGCAAAGAGAAATCCGCTCAAGCGTAGATTACCCTCTTCTAGTATTTTTACAGACATTGAACACCCACTCGAGCGCCAAGTGGCCCGCTCGAGCGCGACCCGCTCGAGCGTAAGGAAATTCGTTCGAGCGTGAAAAATGCACCTACAGTAGTTTTGTAGAGGCACAAAATGTTGAAAGTGTGTAAACTCCGCTCGAGCGCAAAGGGACCCGCTCGAGCGGACCACCAAAAATCTGGGCAACAAGGAATGGGCTTAAAGCTCAACCAACCTGTTCGAAACACACCCAATACATCCTAAAACTCAAATATATGGAATTAAATGATGACAACAAGACATATACAATAACCAACTCCACGGAACCTAAGTCCGAATACAACAATCAACGAAGGAAAAACCAGGATCGCTATAACCTCCCCCCCTTAAGCAATTTCGTCCCCGAAATTAAGTACAAGTCTTTCAAAAACATGATTTCTCAATTACCAACATTATTACAATTCAAAATTCAACAACTTGACCCATTACCGGTCATTCCATCTCTATTCAAGAGACAAACTTCCATATAGTCTCCAACATGCATTATCAACATGTATCTCAAAACATATTCAATGCCAGCAATACATTTGCATTTCTAAAACATCATTAACATATACAATGTTAAAATTAACTTCCATTTTAAGGCAAGTTCCAAAAAATATATTTCCATAAACCAAAACATATACAATGTTTTACAACTTGAGACATATTCCATGCTCTTAAAGTTTACCAATATTACAAAATTCTACATGTTTAAATATTAACAAACAAGTCCGGATACTTTTCACGGACATCCAACTCACGTTCCCAAGTAGCTTCTTCCACTCCGTGATATTTCCACAAAACTTTCACCAAGGGAATGGTCTTGCCTCGCAAACTTGATCCCGCCTATCTAAGACCCGAACCGGTCTCTCCTCATACGAGATATCCTCGCTAACCTCCAAGTCATCCAATCCAACATATGGGATGGATCCGGCTCGTACTTCCGAAGCATACTAACATGAAACACGTCATGCACTCCGGACAACTGTGGTGGCAAAGCCAAGCGATAGGCAACCACGTCAATCCTCTTAAGGATCTCAAAAGGGCCAATAAACCGAGGGAATAACTTTCCACTCTTCCCAAACCTCATCAAATCCCGCCTGGGTGATATTTTCAGAAAAACATGATCACCCGCCTCAAATGCCAAAGGCCTCCTTCTACGGTCGCACAACTCTTGTGGCGACTCTGGGCTGTAACAAGCCTCCTACGAATAAGCTCAACTTTCTCCGTCGTTCCCCTCACCAAATCCGGGCCCAACAAAGGTGCATCACCCACCTTGGCCCAACATACAGGAGACCTACACAGTCGGCCATACAAGGCCTCAAACGGTACCATACCGATGCTTGACTGGAAACTGTTGTTGTAGGCAAACTCCACCAAGGGCAAGTGCCTCTCCCACGACCCACTAAAGTCAAGGACACAACCTCGAAGCATATCCTCAAGGATCTGAATGGTATGCTCGGACTGTCCGTCAGTCTGAGGATGATAAGCCATGCTAAAGGTCAATCTAGTGCCCAAGGCACACTGTAAACTCTGCCACAACCTAGCAGTAAAACGTGGATCTCTATCTGAGACGATCGACACTGGGATCCTGTGCAACCTCACTATGTCCTGAATATAGAAGTCGGCAAGATGATCTACAGAATCTCTCACGCGCATAGGAATAAAGTGCGCCGACTTAGTCAACCAGTCTACAACCACCCAAATAGCATCGTTACCCTGCTGAGTCCTCGAAAGACCCACAACGAAGTCCATAGTGACATGCTCTCACTTCCACTCGGCAATAGGCAAGGGCTGTAACAAACCCGTTGGCCTCTAATACTCGGCCTTCACTTGCTGACAAGTAAGGCACTTCGATACGAAGACTGCCACATCCTTCTTCATACCCCGCCACCAAAACTGGCGACCCAAATCACGATACATCTTGGTGCCTCCCGGATGCACTGCAAGACATGAATGGTGAAACTCTCGGAGTACCTTCTCTCAGCAAGACTCCGGCACAAACAAACGGTCTCGGTATCTCACACTCAAGTCGGGATACACCGTCAAATCCTTTTCAACCTTCCCACTTGAGATCTTCTCTCGGAGGGATTCTACCTCAAGGTCACCTACCTGTGCTTCTAACACTCGAGTCACAAGTGTAGGCTACGCAACAATGGAAAATAAAGCCGCAGCCTCAACGGATTCGCCTAGAAGCAGATCAAACTCGCCAAGTGCACCCAACATCTCCCACTCCCGGATGGCTATACAAGCAACATTACTAATGGATTTCCTACTAAGGGCATCGGCCACAACATTGGCCTTTCCCGGGTGATAGTGCAACTCAAAATCGTAGTCCTCGATAAACTCCATCCACCTCCTCTGCCTCAAATTCAAGTCTCTCTGTGTAAACAGGTATTTCAAACTCTTATGATCCGAGAACACCTCGAATCTCTCACCATAAAGGTAGTGCCTCTAAATCTTCAAGGCAAAAATTACTGCTGCTAATTCTAGGTCATGTGTAGGGTAATTCCTCTCGTGAATCTTTAACTGACGTGAGCCATAGGCTACCACTTCCCCCCCTTGCATCAACATACAACCCAAACCCTCTTATGAGGCATCACAATAAACCGCAGAACCTAACCCTCTCTTTGGAATAATCAAAATCGGAGCGGTGGTCAATCTAATTTTCAACTCTTGGAACGACTTTTCAGAAGTCTCACTGCATACAAATTTGATCCCTTTCCGCATCAATCTAGTCAATGGTGAAGCTAGCCTGGAGAAATCTTTCACAAACCGGCGGTAATATCCAACTAATCCCAAAAAACTGCGGATCTCAAAAACACTCTTAGGCTGTGCCCAATCCTGCACTGCCTCAATCTTGGATGTATCAACAGACACCCCTTCCCCGGAAACCACATGG